TACAATATTTGCCCCTACCCCCCTGTCAAAGGGATATGGGGGTCAGGATCCATCTAATGGCATGTATATACATCCATTATGGGGAAACTAGCCTATTCAAAAAATATAATATTTTCCTCCAAAATGCTGAACCACCCCGGCCCTTACCATTTCGGCCCGAAAGTTGTGATAACTCCAATTTTTACAATATTTGCCCCTACCCCCCTGTCAAAGGGATATGGGGGTCAGGATCCATCTAATCGCATGTATGTACATTCATTGTGGGGAAACTAGCCTAATATAAAAAAATTAATATTTTCCTCCAAAATGCTGAACTACCCCGGCCCTTACAAATTCGGCCCGAAAAGTTGTGATAATTAAAATTTTTACAATATTTGCCCCTATGCCCCTTTCAAAGGGATATAGGGTTCAGGATCCATCTAATCGCATGTATGTACATTCATTATGGGGAAACTAGCCAATTAAAAAAAAAAATATTTTTCTCCAAAATGCTGAACCACCCCGGCCCTTACCATTTCGGCCCAAAAGTTGTGATAATTCAAATTTTTCAATATTTTCCACTACGCCCCTTTCAAAGGGATGTGGGGGTCAGGATCCATCTAATGGCATGTATGTACATTCATTGTGGGGAAACTAGCCTATTCAAAAATATAATATTTTCCTCCAAAATGCTGAACCACCCCGGCCCTTACAATTTCGGCCCGAAAGTTGTGATAATTCAAATTTTTACAATATATGCCCCTACGCCACTTTCAAAGGGATATGGGGGTCAGGATCCATCTAATTGCATGAATATACATTCATTGTGGGGAAACTAGCCTATTCAAAAAATATAATTTTTTCGTCCAAAATGCTTGAACCACCCCGGCCCTTACAATTTCGGCCCGAAAGTTGTGATAATTCAGATTTTTAAAATATTTGCCCCTACGCCCCTTTCAAAGGGATATAGGGTTCAGGATCCATCTAATCGCATGTATGTACATTCATTTTGGGGAAGTAGCCAATTAAAAAAAAAAATATTTTCCTCCATAATGCTGAACCACCCCGGCCCTTACCATTTCGGCCCGAAAGTTGTGATAACTCCAATTTTTACAATATTTGCCCCTACCCCCCTGTCAAAGGGATATGGGGGTCAGGATCCATCTAATGGCATGTATGTACATCCATTGTGGGGAAACTAGCCTAATAAAAAAATTTAATATTTTCCTCTAAAATGCTGAACCACCCCGGCCCTTACCATTTCGGCCCGAAAGTTGTCATAACTCCAATTTTTACAATATTTGCCCCTACCCCCCTGTCAAAGGGATATGGGGGTCAGGATCCATCTAATGGCATGTATGTACATTCATTGTGGGGAAACTAGCCTAATAAAAAAATTTAATATTTTCCTCCAAAATGCTGAACCACCCCGGCCCTTACAACTTCGGCCCGAAAAGTTGTGATAATTCAAATTTTTACAATATTTGCCATACGCCCCTGTCAAAGGGTTATAGGCGTTAGAATCCATCTAATAGCATGTATGTACATTCATTATTGGGAAACTAGCCTATTCAAAAAATATAATTTTTTTGTCCAAAATGCTGAACCACACCGGCCCGTACAATTTCGGCCCGAAAGTTGTGATAATTCAGATTTTTACAATATTTGCCCCTACGCCCCTTTCAAAGGGATATAGGGTTCAGGATCTATCTAATCGCATGTATGTACATTCATTGTGGGGAAACTAGCCTCATAAGAAAATTAATATTTTCCTCCAAAATGCTGAACCACCCCGGCCCTTACAACTTCGGCCCGAAAAGTTGTGATAATTCAAATTTTTACAATATTTGCCCCTACGCCCCTGTCAAAGGGATATAGGCATTAGAATCCATCTAATAGCATGTATGTACATTCATTATTGGGAAACTAGCCTATTCAAAAAATATAATTTTTTTGTCCAAAATGCTGAACCACCCCGGCCCTTACAATTTCGGCCCGAAAGTTGTGATAATTCAGATTTTTACAATATTTGCCCCTACGCCCCTTTCAAAGGGATATAGGGTTCAGGATCCATCTAATCACATGTATGTACATTCATTGTGGGGAAACTAGCCTAATAAATTTTTTAAATATTTTCCTCCAAAATGCTGAACCACCCCGGCCCTTACAATTTCGGCCCGAAAGGTGTGATAATTCAAATTTTTACAATATTTACCACTACGCCCCTGTCAAAGGGATATGGGGGTCAGGATCCATCTAATAGCATCTATGTACATTCATTGTGGGGAAACTAGCCTATTCAAAAAATATAATATTTTCCTCCAAAATGCTGAACCACCCCGGCCCTTACCATTTCGGCCCGAAAGTTGTCATAACTCCAATTTTTACAATATTTGCCCCTACGCCCCTTTCAAAGGGATATAGGGTTCAGGATCCATCTAATGGCATGAATATACATCTATTGTGGGGAAACTAGCCTTATAAAAAAATTTAATATTTTCCTCCAAAATGCTGAACCACCCCGGCCCTTACCATTTCGGCCCGAAAGGTGTGATAATTCAAATTTTTACAATATTTACCAATACGCCCCTGTTAAAGGGATATGGGGGTCAGGATCCATCTAATGGCATGTATGTACATTCATTGTGGGGAAACTAGCCTATTCAAAAAATATAATTTTTTCCTCCAAAATGCTGAACCACCCCGGCCCTTATCATTTCGGCCCGAAAGTTGTGATAATTCAAATTTTTACAATATTTGCCCCTACGCCCCTGTCAAAGGGATATAGGCGTTAGAATCCATCTAATTGCATGTATGTACATTCATTATTGGGAAACTAGCCTATTCAAAAAATATAATTTTTTCGTCCAAAATGCTGAACCACCCCGGCCCTTACAATTTCGGCCCGAAAGTTGTGATAATTCAGATTTTTACAATATTTGCCCCTACGCCCCTTTCAAAGGGATATAGGGTTCAGGATCCATCTAATCGCATGTATGTACATTCATTATGGGGAAACTAGCCAATTAAAAAAATATAATATTTTCCTCCAAAATGCTGAACCACCCCGGCCCTTACCATTTCGGCCCGAAAGGTGTGAAAATTCAAATTTTTACAATATTTACCACTACGCCCCTGTCAAAGGGATATGGGGGTCAGGATCCATCTAATGGCATGTATGTACATTCATTGTGGGGAAACTAGCCTATTCAAAAAATATAATATTTTCCTCCAAAATGCTGAACCACCCCGGCCCTTACAATTTCGGCCCGAAAGTTGTGATAATTCAAATTTTTACAATATATGCCCCTACGCCACTTTCAATGGGATATGGGGGTCAGGATCCATTTAATGGCATGTATGTACATTCATTGTGGGGAAACTAGCCTAATAAAAAAAAATAATATTTTCCTCCAAAATGCTGAACCACCCCGGCCCTTATCATTTCGGCCCGAAAGGTGTGATAATTCAAATTTTTACAATATTTACCACTACGCCCCTGTCAAAGGGATATGGGGGTCAGGATCCATCTAATGGCATGTATGTACATTCATTGTGGGGAAACTAGCCTATTAAAAAAATATAATATTTTCCTCCAAAATGCTAAACCACCCCGGCCCTTACAATTTCGGCCCGAAAGTTGTGATAATTCAAATTTTTACAATATATGCCCCTACGCCACTTTCAAAGGGATATGGGGGTCAGGATCCATTTAATGGCATGTATGTACATTCATTGTAGGGAAACTAGCCTAATAAAAAAAAAAATATTTTCCTCCAAAATGCTGAACCACCCCGGCCCTTACCATTTCGGCCCGAAAGTTGTGATAATTCAAATTTTTCAATATTTTCCACTACGCCCCTTTCAAAGGGATGTGGGGGTCAGGATCCATCTAATGGCATGTATATACATTCATTGTGGGGAAACTAGCCTAATAAATTTTTTAAATATTTTCCTCCAAAATGCTGAACCACCCCGGCCCTTACAACTTCGGCCCGAAAAGTTGTGATAATTAAAATTTTTACAATATTTGCCCCTACCCCCCTGTCAAAGGGATATGGGGGTCAGGATCCATCTAATGGCATGTATATACATCCATTGTGGGGAAACTAGCCTATTCAAAAAATATAATATTTTCCTCCAAAATGCTGAACCACCCCGGCCCTTACCATTTCGGCCCGAAAGTTGTGATAACTCCAATTTTTACAATATTTGCCCCTACCCCCCTGTCAAAGGGATATGGGGGTCAGGATCCATCTAATGGCATGAATATACATCTATTGTGGGGAAACTAGCCTTATAAAAAAAATTAATATTTTCCTCCAAAATGCTGAACCACCCCGGCCCTTACCATTTCGGCCCGAAAGGTGTGATAATTCAAATTTTTACAATATTTACCAATACGCCCCTGTCAAAGGGATATGGGGGTCAGGATCCATCTAATGGCATGTATGTACATTCATTGTGGGGAAACTAGCCTATTCAAAAAATATAATTTTTTCCTCCAAAATGCTGAACCACCCCGGCCCTTATCATTTCGGCCCGAAAGTTGTGATAATTCAAATTTTTACAATATTTGCCCCTACGCCCCTGTCAAAGGGATATAGGCGTTAGAATCCATCTAATCTCATGTATGTACATTCATTATGGGGAAACTAGCCAATTAAAAAAAAATAATATTTTCCTCCAAAATGCTGAACCACCCTGGCTGGCCCTTACCATTTCGGCCCGAAAGTTGTGATAATTCAAATTTTTACAATATTTGCCCCTACCCCCCTGTCAAAGGGATATGGGGGTCAGGATCCATCTAATGGCAGGCAAGAAATAATATTCTGTCGGTAATTAATTGTTCTGATCGAAGTTTTAATAAAGGCTTAGGATTGAATAGTAAGATCTACATTTATAGTTAGCTGCTGTGCCGACGTTCACCTGACTGTGTGAGCGAAATTACTCAAACGCTGCTATGTGGCTGGTCGCTACACGGCTGCTGTTGTTAGCCATACGGCTAGCCCTGGCGGTCATAATGTGGGCATTTTCGGTGACCAGTGGAAGCGAAATGAATGGCCACTGGTCGCATTAGACAGGTGGTCGTTGTGAACAGGTTCTTAATTAGATGAAATGTCACTGGGGATTTAAGTGGTCGTTATGGACAGGTGGTCGTTACAGACAGATGGGAGTTTTAACAGGTTAGACTGTATTACCTGAATTTGGAGAAAAGTTTTCCCATCCATCCTTGGAGAGGAGCTAGACAGAGAAGGATGACGAATCCTATCAGACAGGATGGCCCCATGTTGTTAAAGAGTATGATGAAAATGACTATTAGCTGCAGAAGACCAATCCAGATGTCGTGCAGGTAAAGCAACAACTGAAAGAAAAATTGTTATATTAACTGGATGGATGGAAATGTAGCTATGTCTACAACCATCTAGAAGGCAAGACTTGATACTGACAAGCCAGATAATGAAAGCAGACAAGTCAGAGAAACAGAATGATGAAAGTTTGAAATAAATCGGACCAATGTTAAGAAAGTTATGAATGTTTAAAATATGAGATCACTACAGCTATATGAATCTGAAATTGGCAATTTTGTCAGTGGATTGTGACGTAGTTACGGATTACTCTCCTGTTTGTCATGTACAGATATATCACTAATCAATAGCCGTCTCAATCCTGATAATTTCAACAGAGACAACTGGATCGATATCCCAGAATTTTGGATGCGTACGACAAGCCGCCATGACACTCCCCATCCAGCCGGCCCGCACCGAGCCAGCAGCCAGTTGATTGGTTGAGCCCCCGTGGGATTCGATCAATAGTCCTTATCCGTTATTGTTCTAATTATTGATCGAATTATTTGACCGCCGGTCCACCCGTAGAGTATGAAACACGCTTGCTTACAATATATTTTATCACCTGACGAAGTGTTGCAGCGGCGCACGAAAATTTGTGATCTTTTAGATCCCTTGTTGACCATACATTGCGAGAGAAAGGAATGTCACTAGCGATATTATTGTCGATAATTTCTGTTTTGTTTCTCCCAAGCGCCTTCACCATTGAGGCACTATATATCATGGAGAGTATATTATTACAAGTCGGACCAGCCTCCAAAATGTTGTGTGTTGGAACATTAATGATTCAGCCAATTTGAAGAGCCAATACCTATAGTGACTGCAATTAACTTTCAAGAATGTGTCCAATTTTATTTTAACTTTCACTAGTAGGCTTCTCTGATTTTTCTACTTTCTTCTAGAGAAGTTTGCTATCAAGGCTGGATTTCCCTTTAGAAGGATACAGAATTCCAAAAGGACTAAGAGCAGGAATGACCTTTTTAAACCCTAACCCTGACCCTAGTACTACTAAATCTTTCTGATACTCCATGGTATTTTTTCCACACGTTACAGACTACACAGATGATTTTCATATACCTGGGGGACAAAGATCTTAAGTTGAACTTATCTCTAAGTTGGACTTAACAATTATGGAAAGCCGTTAGCATCTATGAAAATATTTTGCAAAAGTAATTTTAAAAGGCATAAAATGTTGATTCAAATCATTCATATTTTCTATTATCAAGGAGATTTTATGTTCTTGATGTAGAATTTATAAAAAGTCTAAAATACTTGATTTATTGCTTTTGAATATATTCTATTTTAAGGCTATAATCGCTCTCCATAATTTTTTAATCCCACTTAGAGTTCAGTTCTACTTAGGATCTTTGTGAAACAAAATTGTGCATTCTATCAATTGTGCATTCTATCAACATTCTCCCCCACTTACATGTATTCTGTTTTCAGAGACATTACATTTTACTAACTAATATAGCAATAAAAGAAATTTATTATTGTTACCAATTTGAAGAACAAAATGTGATCAATTTAGCTCCCAAAATAAAAATCCTGACCTAAAGGGTTAACTCACCGTATCAAATCTATTCACATCACTGGATAGAATATTGACCAACTTCCCGACTGTTGTTTGCCCAAGAGCTGAATGACTCAGACGTAAAGACTGTACAAAAATAAAATCAAACAAACAAATAAATAATACTAGGGGGCAAAAGAACCACTTGAAATTTGGTTTTTCTTAATAACTTTATGACTTGTATCAGACTCAGATTTGCAATTTCATTTGAAGTAAGTTCTTTGATATTTCTTCCAATAGTCTTTTCAATTGTTCTGAATATTAAATTAGATTCTCAATTTTTGGCAAAATGAAAGCCATGAATGCTGTATCTATCACTAATTAATCCGAAAGCCAATTTCCCATGAGGGGTTTACATGTACACTGTGCACATATCCATCCCAGGGTATGCTCAAGGTGTCTACAAAGTACCATCATTACCCTGGCTTTTGCCCAGCTGCCCTAAGGCACTCAAAGCATTCAAGGAACAAGTTCCTACCAGGTACACATTAAAGGTTTTGGAAACGCCCCCCTCTCAAAAATTGAAACGGAAGCTCTTATTTCCAATCATCTGAAAGAATATTGTTTTGACTAATACATGATGATACAAATTTTGCCGGGAAACCGCCTATTAATTGATATATTTGGTAAATTATTATTAGAATGGGCCTAATTTCTTATCATTTTGATGATTCCAGAACCTTGCAGTACACACCAATCCTTATATGCTAGATGATCAACCTTTTCTGATTGATTCCACAGGGTTTCTTTCACAATGCAATCGCATGACCAGAACTGGTCTATACTTTTAACAACTGGTTGGAGAGTGTCATGTTGATAAATGTCTTGGCAAAGGACATTGACGCCATTACATAATGTCATTACATAATGACATTATTTCCACTGAATGTTTTATACAGTCAAACCTGCTTTAGGGACCACCTGTGCAGAAAGACCACCTGGCTATAAAGACCATAAATTTTCTGTTTCCCTTAAAATAGGGTTTCTCATAGAAACCTGTATATAAAGACGTTTCCCTTGCATGGTGTTCATGAACAGGTTTCACTGTACAAGAGTAAAATACATTTCACAAGGCTCAACACTAGCAGGCACCCAAGCCACATAGAGGAGGTTTCACAAAGATCCTAAATCAAACTTAACTCTAAGTGTGACTTAAACATTATGGAGAGCTATTTGTAGCCTTAAAATAAAATATATTCAAAAAAACGAAAATTCAAATATTTTAGACTTTTTATAAATTCCACATCAAGAACATGAAATCTCCTTGATAATAGAAAATGTGAATGATTTGTATCAACATTTCATGCCTTTTAAAAACTTTTACAAAATATTTCCATAGCTGCTAACGACTTTCCATAGTTGTTAAGTCCAACTTAGAGATAAGTTCAACTTAGGATCTTTGTGAAACACCCCCAGGATATGCAAAATCTAATTACGTACCCCCATACTGACTATCAGTGCCTTAGGCTGCATAAGAGGGCCAGTCGGTTTAAGTAAGCAATGGGTTCACGTACATTAAAAGCTCAGACCTGCAGACCCTTATTCAATTCCATCCAGGCACCACTCCCTACAAATTAGCATGGAGACCCACACTACAAAATAGTTTGAGATAAGAAAAGTTTGGAAATACCCTTGAAAGCTAGCTAATACCTTTCTGAAGACCAGAGCACTGGTTGCGATGCGGACCTGCATGCCAATCCTGGCCATCCGAAATAAGTAGGGATGGTGCATTATTGTAGCACAGGCTCCGCATAGGACTATCCCCACGGCACAGAGGTAAGCCTGAGTGGTTGTGATTTTTGGCTCTGGAGAAAAGTAGGTGATGAGGAAGCTGAGAATGATGGGTTGAAGGAGTTTGAAGACACATTCCTGGGGAGAGAAAAAACAAGGATTTGCGTTATTTTCTTTCTCCTTCTTGGACATCTGGAAGAATACAAGGTTTCCCAGGGAGTGACAGAAAAGGATTCAAGTCATTTTCTCTCTCTCTTTCTTGGACATCTGGAAGAAGTAAGGATTCCCTGGGAACGACAGAAAAGAATTCAAGTCATTTTCTTTCTCTTTCTTGGACATCTGGAATAATGCAAGGATTCCCAGGGAGTGACAGAAAAGGATTCAAGTCAATTTCTTTCTCATTTTTGGACATCGGGAAGAAGTAAGGATTCCCAAGGAGTGACAGAGAAGGATGAAAGTCTTTTTCTTTCTCCTTTTAGGACATCTGGAAGAAGAATTCCTAGGGAGCAACAGAAAAAGATTCAAGTCAGTTTTAGAAGATTGAATGAGCTGTGTTGGCTCAGTTGAAACAACATCTGCCTGTCGAACCAAAGGTCGCGGTTCGAATCCAACCCAGATGGATGACTGAAGTCTTGTATGTGAACTTGTCCCTGCCATTTCATAGACGCAGGCTACTTAACCTGTGTGTTTGGGTTATTCTGCATTTGTAGAGGTGTTGTGGTCCAGTGGACAAGTCTCCGGACTGTGAACCACAACGTACAGGGTTCGAATCCCTGCCATAACACTAACGTCCTTGGGCAAGACGTTAATCTACATTTGCCATGCTCAACCCAGGTGAGGTAAATGGATATCTGGTAGGATTATTCCTTGAATTGCACTGTGCGCTGAAAGCAGCTGCCAGAGCTAAAGCTAGGGTAATAATTTCCAAAGCTTTGTGGAAGCGCATCGGGACGTTATATCATTATGTGTTATGCACAAATCAAAAAAAGATTATTGTTTTGTTTTCAGCCAACTCACCTCAAAGAAAACTATGACCCCCGAACAGGCTGCTGGGCGTATGAAGGTTTTGATTAAAGCTCGGAGGAGGCTGGGTTTCTTTTCATGATTCTCATGTGCCCTGAGTTCCTTGTTCCAGTTTCTAAACAGGAAACAAGAAAGACATTTTTTTTTTATGAAAGAAAGAACAAACGAATGAATGAAATTAACAAAAGATTGAAAGATAGAAAGAATGAATAAAGAATGAATGAAGGAAAGAAAGAAGAAAAGAAATATAAAGGAAAACAGAAAGAAAAAAGAAAGAGAAAGAAAGAAGAAAAAACCAACAGGAATCACTAGATATATGCATGTAAAGCTTGGTTAACAATTATGAAGCAGTATTCTTTAAGTTGACATACCGGTAATTTATAATCAAAATGTCATTCTAGAGAATACATATATTGTGTAGGTGTAATTATTTGTAGAATTTAAAGGGGAAATCTACATGTAGATTGACATCAGCCAGATAATTTCAGAAAAAGTACCAAAACATGAGCACCATAAAACTTTACCTTCATAAGCCTGTTCGCTTCCTTTCAGGAAAACCAAGGGATTACAACTTTAAAGAGAAGGTCGAGTTCTGGTCAAGATGAAGAATAATTAATTTGTGAGCTTTCTCATTATTTATACATGTATGTCAGTTAGGAAGAAGGTATTATGATGCAATGTCCCCTGAAAACAACTACTGGTACTCTTCAAATGCTCTCATTTTAAAGTACTTTTAATTTCAAATTTGAAGAGCAATTCTTTTCAGTGGACATCGTCAAATATGAATTTAGTTTAATTTTTTTTTTTTTAATACAACAAATCTCTCCTGTTTCTTGTTTTACTCGAATTTGCTCCTATCATTATTGAAGTTCTTATTTTGCTATAATGGTTTTCCTTACTTTTGTAATATCTATTTTCATATTTTCTATGTCTATAGGGACCCCTCTGTAAACCAGCATTGTTATGCTAACAACGCTGAGTAGGGCCATCCCTCCGTCTTTCTTTTTTATAACTGTGTTTTTTATGATTGTAAATATATATATATATATATATGTTGATGTATTTTTTAAATGACGGAAAATAAATACAATACAATACAATACAAACTCTTACCTTTCAAGTCTGTCAGCGAGGAAATTGGAATCATCTTCGTTGCATATCCGATAGAGATCAGGCTGCTCTAAAGTGTTCCTGTAGCCATACTTGAAGAATGGCAACAGCCAACTACAATGGTACCAGAGAGAGAAAAAGAGAGAGAGAATCTAGCTATATATTCTGTAAGCAAACAGTTATTTTGAATGAAATTATTGATTATTGATTGAACGGTATCTAATTTCAAAATGAAAATCACATTTCTAGAATGTTTATTTTCTGCCCTTTCATATGACACCTCTATCAAGAAAAAGTAAAGTAATACTTGTATTTCCATAATTACATTAAATGAATTTGTTTTCACTGGCTGCCTGCCGTAGCAACAAACAGAGTCGCCAAAAGACTTTATGCATTGACAATAACAGTTTAAAATATGGCTGCAAAAATTTCAACATGGAGTTGAATTTTGACGAAGAAAATGCTGAAAATGACCCTTGAACGCATCATACAGTCAAGCTGGTAAGTGGAACCGATGTATATTAGCCTAGGCCTAATTTTGGAGTATAAATGCATCGGAATTGAATCCGCCAACATGAAATTTTAGCGTATTCTTTACTGGCATGATCGTAGGAGACCCTATGGCTAGCTTCTGTCTCAAAAATAGAAACGAGCCGACCCTACCCAAAGGCGAACGAACGAACGAACAAACGAACGAAAGGGGACAGGGGCGCCTACTTTTTCAAGTACCTCGAAAGTGCCCCCTTCACTTTGACAAGTGCCCCTATTAATTTGTAATAGTGCCCCTTCCCCTTTTCACCTCTAATAAGTGCCCCTTTTATTTTGACACGTACCCCTTAACCTTGGACAAGTTCCCATTTTCCTTTGCAATAACTGTCCATTTTCCATTCTCATTTTTTATTTCTAGTAAGTGCCCCTTTGCAGGTACGAGAAGTACCCCTTAAGCCTTTACACTTTTGATAAGTGCCCCCTTCACCTTTGATAATTGCCCTATTCAAATCGGAAAAGCGCACCTTATATTTTCACATGTGCCCCTTTTCCTTTATAAGTGCCCCTTTTATTTATGATGTGCCCCCATTTAAAAAGAAAGAGCTCCTTCCCCTTCTCATAAATGCCCCTTTTGACCTATGAAGAGTGTCCCTTTTCATGTCTGGTAAATGACCATTTTCAGGTACGAGAAGTTGCTCCTTTTCACTTTAGATAAGTACCCTCGATCTTCACCTCCGACAATTGCCCCTATTCAAATCTGAGAAATACATGTTTTACTTTGACAAGTGCACCTTCCTCCCCTGATAAGTGCCTTTTTCATCTCTGATGAATGTCTCTTTTCACCTCTGATAACTGCCCCTTTTTATTTTGACACATGCCCCTTGTACTCCTTTCTAATACATGCTCTTTTTCCTTCTTATATAAGTGCCCAGTCCTTCCCCTTCTCATACTTACCCCTTTTCATCTCTGATAAGTGCCCCATTTATTTTAACATGTGCCTCTTTTTCTTTTTTGTCAGAACCACTTCACCCTTTTCGTAAAAAAACTCCCTTTCACCTCCGAAAAATGCCCCAGTTAAAATCTGATCGGTGCCCCTTTTCTTCAACAAATTCACATTTTCCTTGAATATAAGTGCCCCTTTTTCATTCTAATAAGTCCCCTTTTCATATCTGGTCAGTGTCCCTTTCCAGGTGCAATAAGTGCCCCTTTTCACCTCTGATAATTTCCCTTTTAACAATGATACATGCTTCTATTCCTTTCTAATAAGGGACTTATCCCCCTTTCATAAATGCCCCTTTACACCTCTTATAAATGCCCCTATCAAAATCTGATGTGTGCCCCTTTTCCATCAACAAAATGCCTATTTCCCATTCTCATAACATAATAGACTAGATCTAGATCTAGTCTAAGTGCCTTTTTTCATCCCTGATGAGTGCCTCTTTTTTATATGTAAGAATAAGTGCCCCATTTTCACCTCTGATAATCACGTCTGATAATTTCCCTTTAAGCGTCTGGTCCTCTGGACACCCCCACCCCTCCCTCCCCCCCCCCCCCCCCCCCCCCCCCCCCCCCCCCCGCCCTCCCATACTACTAGCACTCCAGTCATACAACTACACATATTATAACTATCAGTCAAACTCGGCATGCGCATGCTCACTAGCAGCCGAGGTAGCGGGGACGATAGCGGCCTCCGCTGCATGCACTGTACAAAAGGCTCAGCTGATGCAATTGATGTCCCATTCATAATAATTAATGCAGTGTAGGCCTAGGCTATAATATAAGTGACAGATGCATACGTTCGTTGGGGCACTAACTCACCAGAAAAACGTTTGAGACAAAATCCCACCATTTTCTGCTGGATTTGGAGGACCGTCTGTCATCTTGAACATGAACTGTCAGCTTGCATATATCAAATTTAGATCTACGGTCTCAGGCTCAATACCAAGCTAGTCTCAGTTTCACCTGCAGGAATATCTCGCGATATCCGATCGCGAAACGTCGAGATATGGCGGGGCACGGCGCTGGCGGATGGGAAGGGGGGGGGGCAAGGGCGGCGATTTATTTTCATGACCAAGGGGTCGGAATGCGAGGGACCAGTGGCGTAGTGAACAAAAACGTTTGGGGGGCACTAATTAGTGAGCATTAATGTTTTAATTTGTTTTCACCCCAAAAATTTGAAAATCGCGTCGGCCGATAGTGAGCGCCTTTTTAAGACTAAACCCCCCCCCCCCCCTTGACCAAAAAAAAGGAGTAATTTTTTGGTCACATTTTTTTTCTTCTTTTTTTTCTTTTTTTACCAGGAAGGCCCTAGCTGAAGGCCCACTCGCCCCCCCCCCCCCCCTGGATCCGTGCCTGGAGCCCCCTGAAGCTCAGGGTTTTTAGGCATTTAGTAACAGTCAGATGAGCATACAGGGGCCTGCCTTAGAGTAGGCTTCTAAATTAGCATTTTTGCCTGACTGTTATTTGGGAATTTGTCATTTTCCATTAAACGCATAATGAGGTATAATTTACAAACAAAAGTGAAAAAAGGAAAAAAAATCCCGAAAACCATGTAATTTAAGCAATCGAAGTATCGAATGAGAAATAAACCACGTTTGAATTATATTGGGGGGTCAACTGCCCCAAGCCCCCCCCCCCCCCCCATCCCACCAGTACACCAGTTTTGTTGTATTAAAAAAATATATTTCTTAGCAAAATATATTATAAAACCAAGCAATATACCTTTTTTCACACTTCACTTTTACTTTGCCTTAATGTGCAGTCCGAAGGGTTGTAAATATCAGTTTAGTAGGTAAATTTTAGTAAGTAGGAAGCTTGGGCATGGATAGGCCCGGTGGATGGGAGTTATATTTCCCACGCTAAAACTTTTGTCATATACATGATATCGCTATGGGAGTTGAAATGGCAAATATCAGCCTGGCAAATATATAGACTATGTTTTAGTGACTCCTTACTGAAAAGAACGAGCGGAATATTTATGTTTGCAGCACTGATCTATTTCTTAATCTTGTAAAAGTACAGTGTAAACTGTGCTTACGTGATACCAACGGAATACAGATTTTCTACAATTTGAAGGATATTATGCGAGGGAGGTTAGCGACCGAGCAAGAAGATTTTTTTGCATTTGTATTCATCTAAACGCTCCCCTCCAGAGCCTAAAAGAGTGTTGCAGTCTTTAGTCAGTATTTGCTATACATTTTGGGGGGCACTTTTTCAAATTTCCCGGGGGGACGATCCCCCCTTTAAAAATGAGCGGGACGTATAGTTCCCCGTCCCTCCAGGATCGCCGCCCCTGGGGGGGGGGGGGAGGGGTGCACATATATAAATACACACATCCTCTCTAGGGTAATAATAATTATGTAATTTACTTAAAAGCGCTCTGATATGTCTTAGGACAGGACTTGCGCCATATAAGTGGTACACAATTGTTCTTGTTCGTATTCTTGCCATGCTTGCCCAGTTCTCGGTCTTCTTAATCTTTTTCTCGTTCATCTTCTCATTCTTCTTTTCATTATTTCCACCCACCATCTTTCCTGTAATTTCTCCCATCTTCTCTCTCTCTCTCTCTCTCTCTCTCTTTTACGTATTCCTGCATATTCTAACTCTCTCTCTCTCTCTCTTTCGCATAATGTTCATATAATTTACTTCATTTTGAATACATTTACACCTACTCTTAAAATTATTTGCCCAGCACCAGGTCAATTATGCAAACATGCAACTTCAATGCCTCTTGATATAATGCCTCTTAACATTTAGTCAGCACTATGATAATGGGCCTTTGGGCCACATAATATTTGACGTCTCGCGGGCCCTAAGCAACAGAAAATGTGTCTGTCATGGTGATTTCCTGAGTCTGTAAGAATAAACCCGACCATTCCAAATCGGTTTTTGAGTGATACTTAGAATAGGCCTATTTAACTTGGGTCAATGCTACAATAACTGGTCTTTGGGCCATATTTTATGGGCATCTGGCGGGCCCTAAGAAGCCGAAAATTTGTCTGGCACGGGCCATTCAGTGCTTTGTGGCATTCATGCATTTAGTTAACATTGGTTTCAAGTGGTACCTCGTTCATTTGATCAAACGCATTTTAGGGCCCCTTTTAACCGGCCCAAGGGGCCACATGCAGCAGAGGGGCCCCGGCAGACGTCTATATTTGAATATACTAGGTTCCTCCCCGATTGTTCCAACACTCAGCTATTGGTACCTCGTTCGTTTGATCAAAGTGCACTAGGCTGTCGCCTGTCGGGCTAATTCGGTATACCGGTAGGTCGTAAATACTTATTGTAGAAATTAAACAAAAACAGAATGAACTACCTGCGAAAAGTCTCAGGATACGGTCATTGCGCAGTTACAATGGGAATAAAGTAGGGTTCTGATATCACAATGCAATATTCAAGGCTCAAGGCTCTCTCCCTCTTCCTCTCCCTCCCCCCCCCCCCCCCCCCCCTCTCTCTCTCTCTCTCTCTCTCTCTCTCTTTCTCTCCCCTCTCCCTTCTCTCTTTCTCTCCCCTCTGCCCCTCTCTCTTTCTCCCCCTTTCTCTCTCTTTTTCTTTCGAAATACATTTTTAATAGACGTTTCCATCAGAAATATGGGAATATTACTATTCTGTATATTACGTAATCTAAACATGACCCCATGGAAGAACAGGCGTATTTTGTTAATACACCTGAAATGGTCTATCCGCCGTATATCTCATATATGTATGTATTTGTATGTTGTGATGATTTAATACGGAAATAAAAACAAACAAACAAACATTTCTTTGGGATACACTATATAAGGTACCGATAGTGCAATTGAGCTGATTCTTCGAAAATCATTTCGGGACTATGACCAAGACGTAATCAAATTGATGGGAATATAAAGACAACCGAAAGAATGCCTGTAATTTTTACAGAAAATTGCATGGGCAGTTTTTGTACCCTAACAATACCCTACCCTGCAATCATGCCTCAGCCTCAGCGCGCCAAAAATGTTAACATGTTCATGTATTTACCAAAATCATATGCTCTAAACTGAAAACGTTCTTTTCTTTTTTTTTTTTTTTTTTTTTTTTTGGGGGGGGGGGGGAGGTGGCTGAGTCTGTTTGTTTTTTTTCTTTTCTTTTTTCCTTCCTATTTTTCCCTCGAAAAGTAATAAGACCTATCGAAGCTCGATCACTTTCAATTTTGCTCATTTTTTCGGTGTATTTAAAATGTTTTATAACTAAAAGAGTTGTAACTGCATCGTACAATATACTATGAACATGAGCATGGCGAACGGCATATATAATTTATGTAGAGGCCTTGGCTGTCCATGATAATGATTTTTTAGGCTGTAATTTTCTTTTCTTTTTTAACATGTGTTAGAATTATGTTACTCTTTCCCCTACCCGCACACTTTCATGAATAATCGATTCTGCTGAGAAAAAGATGAGACCATTAAAATGATCAGGCTAATATCTTAGAATGCAAAGTACTAATTTTATTTTATTTTATTTCATATGATTTCAATCATACTATCTGCCCAACGTACATTAAGACATCCATCAATATTTTGCTTACATTAAAGATAATACAAAGTTTTGGTAAGGGGTCATGAATTTGGTTCAAATGAACATATTGAAAGCATATGCGATCCTAAAATGTTCAGTGATCGGTGTCGCGGTTGAAATCGAGTCTAAAGTGACGAAATTGTAAATAATAAAGTCTTTATGTTTTATAGCTCCCTCTCAAGGTCAAGATATTGATTTAGCTATAAAACAATGTTATTTGACTAAAATCGACCGATTTGCTATTACCGTTTGGAATATATATATCACAACTGCATATTCTGAGATTTCCATGGTCGCAGCTACCATCGTATGGCCGTAGGCGCTATTTGAAATTTATCAACATTTACCGGGAGCACCGGTAAATTGTTATATTCAATTTTTCTCGAAAGCAGAAGTGTTGTAGGGGCTAAATTTGTTAGTGCTTATAATACATCTATATGGGCATCCACATTTATCAAAATTTTACAGAATCACTATCCACCCAATTTTCAAAATTTACCAAAACTTTGTAATACCTTTCAGAGATAAAACGCTCAGACATACTGTTAACGAGAACACAAATAAGAAACTAAACATTGGTACATTAAACGCCATATTGTATAAAATTCATTTCAGTTTGTTTTTACTTCTCTTCTTCGATTAAGTTAAATACTTTTAGTTGCCTATTTCTATGAAAAAAAGGAAAAACATAAACCATTTAGACGAACTATAAACAGGGGACTCTTTACCTTTACCAATTATGATAGAAATATTCACAACATTTTATTTACAGGTAACGCTTATTACATCGTGATGTCTTTCAGTTTTACCACATTTATTACACAACATATATTACAATCTATTACCATTCTTTAAGTGCATAATAGAGAATTTCTTTATGTTAGTGATATGCGATGTATAAGCAACGTTAATATAACGATATCCCTCAAAAACATAACACAAATAAGAAACTAAACATTGGTACATTAAATACGATATAGAACATGTACAAAATTCATTTCAGTTTGTTTTTCATTTCAGTTTGTTTTTGCCCTCGGGAAAGTTACTATTTATGCCTCTTCATTAGCTGATAGTTTTTGCTAGACCCTCGAAAGGTATTGTATATTTGTATATTATACAATTTTTATTGTTGTTGTTGTAGTTTTATCTATTTCAATACGATGATAAAGGAAACCTGCCTACAGCCGCAAGGCTGTTTTTCAGAAAGTCCGTATACGAAATAAGACAACCTCACAAAAATAACATAGTAATTACAAATTATTTACAAAGAATAAATACGAATTTCAATAACTATACAAATGGCACATTTTCTTTTTAGTGAAAGAAAAAAACAGAAATAGTAGGGAAATAGAAGAATCAGACAAACAAGATTTACGAACAAAAAACTATCATGATCAAATCCCGGCAACTTTTTAAAAACTTATTGGGAAGATATGTTGAATG